CCCAAACACTCCAGCACACTTTCTTTGATTATTTTATGACTCTTTTGATTTCTAGAAGGCTGGTACTCTTTCCAGTACCCAGACCCCTTCTCTTGAAACACCAGTACTCGTCCTGAGTTTTTAACTAACTCTTAAGGTCTCTAAAAGCAGTTTCGAACCACACCAGGCCAGGGATCTCTGCACTCTTCAGAGTTAACTCCCTGTTTAGACTGGGTAAGGAAATTCTCCTCTCTCTAGAAGATCTATCCCCTTTCCTTGGCCCACATGGGACTCTGCCTGCTTCCCAAACTTCCTTGCCAACTTTCCCCGAGTTCTCCTGTCTGGGTTAAACTGATCTCAACCAAGTCTGAAATCAGACTCAACTCAGTCAAGGCAGAAATCTGACTGAATCCTCCTCAGTATCCAGTTCAGAAGTCTTTCTTTGTTCAGCTGAAGCTAACCAATCAGATCCCTTGGAGCAGCCTGTCACTCAAGGCTCGCTGTTTCTGTGAAAAACTAACCCTTCACAGTCCTTTAGCAGTTTGTACAGCACTTCTAAGCTTTTTAAAAATGCACTCCATCACAGAGACTTTCCCAGATAGTTCTCTTAGTAGCTATGCTCTACCGTCCCTCAGGCATAAGAATATTTCAGGCTTTGGCAAAGACCCCTGAGAGCAGGAAGACAGGCTGAATGAGACAGCATTCAAAAAAGCATTAGATAAATGGGCAGAACTGGCGGGCCTGCTATTATCCCCTGTGTTGGGGAATTTTTCCTGGAAGAACATTGACGCATCTCCCCTTCATTACATGCTTCCTTGGGCGGAAGGAATAATTTTTATTCTGTGACGGATCCGCCCGCTGTAGGGCTCTTTTTGTAGCAGGAACTCCCTTGCATATTAGGCGACACACCCCTAATATAGCCAATCCTCCAAGAGCTTACAGAGCTCTTCTTACAGGGGCTACTATAAGCTCTTGGAGGATTGGCTACATTGGGGTGTGTCGCCTAATATGCAAAGGAGTTCCTGCTACAAAAAGAGCCCGATGGATTTACAAGTCCAAAAACTGTAGGATTGCCAGCTCTGGGTTGGGAAATTCCTGGAGATTTTCGGGGTGGAGGCTGGAGAAGGCAGGGTTTGGGGAGGACAGGGACCTCAGTTACAATGCCATAGAGTCCACCCTCCAAAGCAGCCATTTTCTCCAGGGGAGCTGATCTCTGTAGTCTGGAAGATCAACTGGCATTCCAGAAGGTGTTCGGCATCCCTAGGAGTTGGGTACCGTAACTTCACCATCTGAGCTGAGTCCTTAGGGCAGGTCACAAATCAGTGCTCCCTCTAAGCTGTGGAGTCTTGTGAGCAAAAATTCTACTTTGTGAGCGACTGGCATTAAAGTTGTGAGCGGGCCATTTGGCTGCTGTAGGCTTGCCAAGTCCCCCTGGGGGGCGGGGAAACCCCCGCCCCAGAGGCCCGTTCCCCGCCACCGGCGGATCAGG